GCTGGTAGTGTGGGCCAGCCCACCTATCGGGAGCTCAGCAGGTCTCCAAATGAAGCCGGGAATGGGGAGGCTGATGTGGAAGCCTCAAACCCACCTCTCTCCTTCACTGCACCTGGAAGCCTGAGGGAACTCCAGCAGTCTGGGCGCAGAAATCCAGAGTCCTCCAGACACGCAGAGAGGTCAGTGAGGGCACCCCAGATCTCTGCTTACTGTTTCAACTTAGACAAATTCAGCCATCCTGAGCCTCAATTTCCTGATTTATAAGAAAGGGAAAATAGTAGTATTTACACATAGGATCCTTGGGTAGACTACATGGAATAATACATATAAATTATTTCATATAACATTCGGCACTGGAAAGGCCAATAAATGGCAGCTTGTTATTATTGCTGTGTGATTAGGGGCTGATTTGTGAAACTGACAATTACAAACAGACTTGTTAGCGGCCATTATATAGAGAGCTCTGGTTCTGGCCCTGCAATGTAGAAATGCTTTTGGTGCCCCATGCCCAGTGCCTACCATTAGCATCCTCCACTTGTTCCTGCTTCCCACAGGCTCCTGCTTCCCCTTGGGTCACAGACCAAAAGCTCTTGCCAATCCCTATTCACACCCCAGCATTAGACCTAGAGCCTCCAAGCTGATACCTCTGATGGGTATTTGAGCTCCAAGACTTCACTCCTGGAACAAATGCTCAGTTCCTGATCCCAGTTCAGAACAAGCTCACACCAAGCCCAGATGCTTGGCACAGTGAATGGGAGTGGCAGGAACATCCTGATCATGGATCCTAGAGGGCCAAGCTAAAATCATGTCCATGCAGGGAAGCCTCTGAGCACCATGGGAACATGTAACTGTGGTCTAAGAAAGGAAAGTCCAAGATTTTCTCCACTAAGACAGCAAGAACATGACTGCATACCTAAGCCTGACATCCAGAATGAGGGGAGGCAGGGACACAGATAACAAAAGGATTAATGTGGTCAGAGGCTAAAAACTTAGGAACAAGAACAATTCAATATGTGAAATCCAGAGCAAATTAGGGCAGAACTCATTCTGTAACTGACGCAAAATGACTAGGCTCCACTCTGGGATGGCTGTGCCACTTGACAGAGAATGTAATTGCTGTGTAACAAAGTGCCCCAAACTTAAAACAACAACAATTATTTCATTATAGCAACAGCTATTTATGGTTTTATTAGTTCTATTTCCCATGGGTCTAGGAGTTGCCTGAGTTCAGCTATTCCTTAGATTCTCAAGTGTTGCCAAGTCAAATGATGCCAATGGCTCGAATCATCACCAAGGTACACAACGGGCTGTGACACTGTGACACTGGCTATTGCCTAGGACCTTAGCCGAAGCTGTCAGATGGAACATGACCCCTCCATGAAGCCTGGATTTCCTCACAGCATTTGGCTGGGATTCTTTAGCTCACATCTGCACTTTACTTACTGGTCTTCTTTCTGAATCTTTTCAGCTCCAGTCTCACTGCTGACAAGTTCATTTTCCTGATAGTTTTTTTTTTTCCTTGCAGCATCAAGGATTGAACCTACAGCTTCATGTATACTTAGGCAAGTGTTTTACTACTGTTGATCCCTCATTTTAGTTTGAGATAGTGTCTTGCTAAACTACCCATACTAGCATGGAGATTATAATCCTCCTGCATCCCAAGCAGCTGAGATTATAGGCATGATTTATTATGCCTAATTTCCTGGTGCTTCTTTAAATCAGAGTCCATAGAACGGGAATCCTGATTGGTGAGCTCATCTTTTGACATGTGTACACGATTGGTTGTTGACATAAAGTAGATTTATTTCTCCTCGTCATCATCCTTCTCTTCCTCATCAACACATGGATTATAAAATATAGTGGACTTTGACATTAGTTTGAATCCTAGGTCTTATCAGTTCTGTGACTTTGAGCAAATAGCATACCTTTTCTGTGCTTTTTTTTTTTTTTTTGCTACTCTAAAAAGTGGAAGTAATAAAAGAAATGACCTCACAGTGCTGTGATCCAACACAGTGAGTCAACATGTTCCTGGCACATAAGAAGTGTTCAGTAAATTTTTCTTATTGTGAATAATGGCAGTGCCATTTTTTAGGTCAAAATAGTGCAGGTGTTGTAGGCACAGCTTGAAGTCTCACTGCCTGTGTAAAAATCATACAGTTCAAACCTTGTGTTCCAAATTCCTGTAATTAAATGCCTATATTTGAATCTCATTCAGATTCCAAATTGTTGTCCTTGGGCCGGTCATCAGACTCTCCGGGCCTCAGTTTGAAGGTGTCTCAGATGAAGCTGTTGGTATTACCTGTGCCCTGAGTTTTCTGTGAGGAATAAACAAGTTAACAGGGTCCCTGTCAGCCAGTGAGGACTATATGAGTGGTATGTTAGCTATTCTTTTGACTGTCAATCATCTTCTCTAACTTCCTGCACCATATTATAGCACTGATGAAGCCTTATTGCACTCAACACCTCTACAAGGGTAATTTCTTATCTCCATTTTTTGGATGAAGAAACTGATGTTTAGGGGAGTGAAGTTGCCCTGAGTATTAGATGAGTGAAAGGCAGTGATGACATTAAATCTCAGGTCCATCTTCTGCCTAACCAGATCTCTCATTAGGACAGTGTTGCTCTCCCAGTTAGCCACAGCAGGGAGAGGTATGCTGTGGAGAGAGAAGGCAAAGATGCCAGGCTCTTGTGGCCTTTTCCCCTCCTTTTAGAGGGGTCTGCACAAAGTGGTCTTTGTGCATGTGACTGGGACCCTGGATGAAAACTCTGGAGCTCTCCTGGACAGTAGGCAGACTCAGAATTTAGTGTTCCCAGTACAGCACATCCTTCCTTGCTCTCAGAAGATCCTGAGCCCTAGTTCATGGGTAGCATTTCTGTCCTACTCTGCCACCCTGTCTTGTTTTGCCCAAACCACTTTCTTCTCTTAACTCACTGGACTGAAATCAGTATCACTTATAAGGTTAGACTCCCTCTGGAAGCTTTAAGGAGGAGTTTCTCCTAGATTTTCAAGTTTCTTTTGTCTGCAAGTGCTCTTTGACTTGAGGCCTCATCACTCCAGTCTCTACAGGGGTCATCTGACAGCTTTCTACTGTGTGTGTAAGATCTCCCTTTGTCTACCTCTTATGACATTTCTAACGATTGCTTTCAGGACCTATCAGGTAACCCAGGACAATCTCTCCATACCAAGATCTTTAACTTTCTGACATCTGTAAAGGACTTCCTCCATTTTTTTTCATATAATATGCACAGGTTCTAGTGGTTAGGATGTTAGGATGTGATGCCTTTTTTCATTCTACAACATATGAAGATCAAAAAATGGAATTTCCTTCTCATTCTCCTTGGCAGTCATTCTCTGGCCTTTGTGTAAGGATAAGAATCTTACACATGGTCCCCCATCCACATCAGTGGATCTAAGAAACCCATCATAAAAAAGAAAATTGTGTCTGTTGTGAACACATACAGACATCTCCTTGTCATTCCTAAAACATTAGAGTATAAGAACTATTTACATATCACTTACATTGTATTAGGTATTATACAGTAGTTTAGAAGTAATTTAAATATACAGGAGGCTGTGCATAATTTATATGCAAATGCTACATCATTTTATTTTAGAGAGCATTGTAGGATTTCATATTTGTTGAGGTCCTGGAACCAAATCCCCAAGGATACTGAGGAATGCCTATCGCTGTCAGATCTGACTGGTAAATTTTTCCATTTGACAGAAGAACGAGACGTAAAGACCAATTGCGAAGGAAGCAAATGCAAGACTCTAGGGACAAATGAAACTTGTGTTCAAAGTTGGGCATCTCACATGGCTTTTCCTCTCACCATATCCCACAAAGATGAGGGTAACTAACTGCTGTACACTGTGATGGGGCGCCACCTAGTGTCCATATAAAGTCATTGTTCAGGAAATCCACCAACCTATCAGTCCTCTGTCCTACAGTGGTGCACCCCTGCAGGAGGGTCATGGAAAATTCTGGTTTCAGAGAGAGCTGGCTTTAAACTTCACTGACTGAGTGACCTAGGACAAGTCACACTTCTCCTCTAACCCTCCATTTGACCTTAACTAAAATGAAAATGAGGCAGAGATGAGAGGATCTTGATGAAGTGCCCCACCACGCCTGTAAACTGGGAATAGCTAGAGAGCAATGAAAAGAAGCCTTGTTTGCAGTTCAGCAGGCCTGGATTTGTTAAATCAAAAACAAACAAAAAATTATTGTGCGTGTGCTGTATGCCAGGCACTGTTCATAATGTAGAGATGTGGCAATAAATAAAACAAACAGTGTTCACAGTTTCGTGCAGCTAACAGTGTAGCATCCGTTTTTTAGTCCATCACTCGTTCGGGGCTCCGGCTGAACAGAGTCTGCCCGCGGGGCTCGGGCGCCCCGCCCCTACTCACCCCCCTGCCCCCCTCACCCGCTCCTGCAGCCACACCCCTAGTCTGGCCCCGGCCCCCTGCCAAGCTCCCTCCAGTCGGCGCGCCCTATTTAAGCCACACCCAGTTCCCGCCCAAGCCTCGCCACGCCCCACTGCGCACCGGGGACGCCTGGCGGCGCTGCAGCTCTGCGCCTCACACCTGGCTCGCGCTGTGGGCGCCTCCTCAGAGCGCTGGCCTGCGCGTCTAGCCTCAGGCTCTGCGCTGAAAGTAGGGTTCAGCCTGGGAGGCCGGGCAGGCCGCGAGGGCAGGAGCGGGTCGGGCACTGCGAGCTCCACAGCCCGAGCCCGGCTCCTCACGGCCCCCTCAGCTCGCGGCGCCAGCCGCACAGACCCAGCCTGAGGGAGCCCTTGGGATCCCCTTGCGCGCGCCCTCGGGGCCACCCCTCTGGCCTCAGTTTCCCCTTGAGGTGTCCGGCTGTGGACACTTCAGCCCTTGGCCCTGACAGCAGCCCCCCCCCGCCCCTGCCCCCCGCGTTGTTCCCAGCCCTGGAAGCTCGCGGCACCCCGGCTCCCCGCCCCTCGCGCGGTGCTGGCCGTCCAGAAAGTCTCCACCTCTTGGCTGGGCTCGCTCCCCGCGCTCCTCCCCGCCGCCCCGGCCTCCCGCCCTCGCCTGCCATCCGCGCACCGCAGCCCAGGCCGCGCGGTCCCTGCCTCCTACTTTCTGTCTCGTCCTGAGGATACTGACAGGAGTGTGTGTTGTGTGGCGGGGTAGGGTATGCTCGGGAATTTTAAGTCACAAGGCTCAGGTTTTGAGGGGTGTGTGTGTGTGATTGTGATATTTGGAAATTAAACCTAGGACCTTCACCCCTCAGCTAAATCCCCAACTTCTCTCTGCCATAGAGGACCACGCTGAATTGACCTCGCTGTGCTCGAGCTTGTGATCCTTTTGCCTCATTCTCCCAGAGTACTGGGGATCACAGGTATGCACCACCTGACCCCTTAAGGCTATTACATTAAAAGTACTCACACATGTGGCGAAGAGCGATTTTAGAAGGTAAATTTAATATTATTCCAGTATACCAAAATATACGCAGTAGAAAGAAGAAAAGTGGAGCCAGGGTTAGGCACAAGCCATAAACATCAAAATCTCTAGTTGTGTCATGGGGGAATATGGTTTGGTCAATTGCATAACCTTCAAGGTGGGTGTAATGATTTGATTCTCGTGGCAGAAATGGGCATTGATCAAAGTTCACCTAAATTTTTAATTCTGTGACTGGCTTTGTTTTTGTGTTCATTTTGGCTCAGTGTTCCGTTATCGAAAGTTTAAATAGAAGTTTTCATAGTGGCAGTTTAAAATTACTTATATTAAGCAATAATTTTATTCTTCTGTAGGGGTCAACCAAAGTATTACAAAACATTCCTTCTCATTTGTAGCTTCCTCATAAAGCCTTAAATTTTTTTAAGTTGTACATTTTATATGTACATTGATTTCTTCTATTTTAAAATGAAGATTTTCTCATATTTTTCAAAACATTTAAATTCGATTCTTCTTTCTTTTCTTGGTCTTCTGATTCTTCTTCTAGTTTCTTGATTTTTCTTTTTTAGTTCTTGACTTTATAGTCACTTGGAATTCTATTATTTTTAACTTCAAAAACATATTGTTAAATAAATCAGAGCATCTTGAAGAGAACAATGACATTCAATACTTGAGTATGAAAGTGATACTTCTCAAATTCTTAACTTCCTATTCCATACTTTGTCTACCTTTTCTTATTCTTTCCTATTTTTGATGCCTATTTTTTAGCCTTCGTCTTTTATTTATTTAACCATACTCGGTTATAAAGAATGGAAATCCTACATAGGATAAAATAAAGAAAATCTAAGAGAGATCCTCTGTTATGATCCATTTATGAGATTGATGAGCTGCCAGCTGTGCAAACAGGACTGACTGTTATGATCCATTTAAATTAGGTGTGACTCACAATCTGCTAGTGCTCTGTCATTCATTTAAGATTTTATAAAGATTGTTTTTTTTCAAGAAAATACTCTGAATTGAATAATATATTGAATTAAGTGATAATCAATGTTATTTTATAGAATTTAAAACTGTTGCCACGAAATACTACTGAAATATATATCTTGGAGCCCAGAATTAAACTCAGGACCTGGTGCTTGCCAAGCAGGTACTGTGCCACTGAGCTATATCACTGGCCTTAAATATATTTTTGTGTTCTCTCTAGTTCATTAAATATAACTAAGGAATAAGCAACATGTTCTACACCCATGTGCTTATGAATAGGCGAGGGCCACTGGCCAAAATATGGCTTGCAGCTCACTGGGAGAAGAAACTCACAAAGGCCCATGTATTTGAATGTAATCTAGAGACAACCATTGAAAAAATTATTTCACCTAAGGTATGTTACTGATTAAAATGATAATTTGTATTGCCATAACTTCTGTAGAAGAAAGGAATTTAAATACATTTATATTGTTAAATAAATTTCCAAGACAATTGTACTTCTCAGATTGTCTTTTAATGCCTTATAGCAATTATTGTCTGAACATAAATATGTATTGGTTTCTGTTGATTATTTGTTCATGTATTTATCATAAATTGATTGGAGCCTGAGGTATAAAGGTTGTTTTATATATATTTTGTAATCTTGTTCTTTGTGTATATAGTAGATACCTAGTTAATACTTCTAGAAAATAATGAATGGGGAGGGTATAAAAAAAGATTGATTATAAACTTAAAAAATAACATATCATAAAATATTGTGTTCATTCATTATAAAGCTATAAACTAGCCATCAGATTTTGTATTAAAATATCTTAATATTTTTGTAGTTTAAGTCTGTACCTGCTTGAGAGAAGAATGAATCATAGTTAAAAGATTACTGTATGTTATTAATCTTTATTAATTTATTTAATACTTCTTAAAAGGCTTCTTGTATCCCTAGTGAAGTGGTAGTTAGCATTAACTCTTAAATTGTTCAAATTTACATTTAATCCTTGTTTCATCACTTAATAGCTGTATTACTTTGGGCTTGCCACTTAATATATCTGGGTAGATAGAATTTTTCTTTTATGAATAGATATTGTTGTCAAAGTTAAATAAATTAATGTATGAAAAGCTCTTGGAGCTGGACGTGGTGGTTCACGCCTGTAATCCCAGCATCCTGGAGGCTGAGGTGGGAAGATCGTTGTGAGTTCAAGACTGGCCTGGGCTACAAAGTGAGCCTGAACTGCATAGCGAGACCTCGTCTCAAAAAAGATAAAAAAGGAAGAAAGAAAGAGAAAGAGAGAGATAGAGAGAGAGAGAGAGAGAGAGAGAGAGAGAGAGAGACAGAGAGAGAGAGAGAGAGAGAGAGGAAAGAAAAAGAAAGAAAGAAAGAAAGAAGAGAAAGAAAGAAAGAGAAAGAAAGAAAGAAAGAGAGAGAGAGAAAGAAAGAAAGAAAGAAGGAAAGAAAGAAAGAAAGAAAGAAAGAAAGAAAGAAAGAAAGAAAGAAAGAAAGAAAGAAAGAAAGAAAGAAAGAAAAAAGCTCTTGCGACATTGACGGGTCCAAAATAAATTGTAGCCATTTTTATTAAACTGAAGTCCATGAAGGTTACATGAGTCAACCTCAGCAACTGAGTTAAGATTTAAATCCCAGTCTGCCTGACTACAGAATTTATATTCTTCCTGCAGTATTCATAGTAGTACATGGCACTTAAATGCCACCTTAGATCATTTTTATGAAATAAGCAAAAAAAATCATTTTACAAGGAGAGATAAAATTTAAGTGATTTACTTTAAGAATAAGGCATATCTTTTTCAAAGAGAGGAAATTTTTATAATTTCAGTAACTTTCAAAGTTGAAAACTTATGAACCTAATTTTTATTCTAATTTTAAAATTATGGAAAGGTGAAAATTGCACTTCGTACTTCAGGACACCTTCTTTTGGGAATTGTTCGAATCTATGATAGGAAGGCAAAATATCTTTTGGCCGACTGCAGTGAAGCATTTCTTAAAATGAAGATGACATTCCGCCCAGGTACACATACAATGTTAGTTTGTCTCAGTCTTCTTGGTTCCCTTTTGCATGTTTAGTTGGGTAGAGTCTTTCAGTTGGCAGTAAATTATAATTCAGGTGATTTTGTGAATGATTGAATCCAAGTTTCCATCATTAAGGATAAATTATATTATTTCCCTTTCTTTTTTCCTATGTTTGCAGGAAAAGGTTTTGCTTTCTAAAATTTGTAATGTTCCTATGTATTACATAAGAAATATGATTAAAGCACAACTTATATATAAAAAACTCGTGTATTCCTTTTTTTTTTTTTTTTGTCTTTTTCATTTTTATCAGTACCAGGGATCGAACTCATGACAGCCTGCTTGCAAGGCAGGTGCTTATGCCACTGAGCTAAATCCCCAGCCCCCCAGAACTCCTGTATTCCATTTTAACAAATTATTTAGTTTGTTGAATGTGTTTTGTCTTTATGAATGAAATTAGAAATAGTATAAGTGACAAACCAAATACCAATAGTTGGCATTTTTTATAATTCACAAGAATCAAGTTGTATGCTGTTTATGAAATACTATCAAAATACCTGGACATGCCAAAATGCTGGAAATTTATGTCTCATAAATATAATGTTTTCAAAATATAATGTATATGGCATTTGTTCCACTTTTAAAACATTCATCATTTTCCATGTTGGGTAATGGTTATTTAGATACCAGTCTTTCTGCTTCACTAGTCTTTAGGCTCTCTGAAGGAAGCATCTTTGTTGTGTTCACTTTCTGAATCTCTTATGGTATCTGTCTTGGTGCCTTGCACAAACTATTCTCTCAGTCAACTTTTGTTGAATCAGGATTGACAAGGGTTTTTAAAATTTTTCTTTATTTTAAAATATTTCTAGTTAAATTTATGGTTAAGTAATATTCATCTCTTCACTTATTATTTCATTTATATATTCCACAAATATTTATTGATCTTATACTTTGTGTCAAACATGGACTGCTTGTGCTATGAAGGAAAATAAACATAACATTGCAGCAAAATAAGAGAGAAGTTTACTTTAGTTAGGGAAGTTGGGAAAAATCTTTCTGAGGGGATAGAATTTAACTTGAAAAGTAAGAAATATCCAGCCATGTAATAAGTTCCACATGGACTGGCATAACAGACAGGTGAAATGGCAAAAGTCTTTTGATGACAACATGCTTGATTTTTTCAAGAAACAGAAGGGAGAGTATGTCTAGAGAAAGTACAGTGAGTGAGGAGAACAGTGTCCTCATGTGATGCTTGATAGGTTGGCAGGGCAAGAAAGGCCTCAGTTAGACATTTTGCTTTTATTAAAATGTACTATAAAAGTTGCTAAACTGTTTCATGAGAAGTTTTTGATCAGTTTGCTTTTGGAAACTATTACTATGTTTTATGGAGAAGGGACTGCAGCGTGACAGGAGTAAATAAAGGAAACCAGTTAAAGAGACTAGCAAAGAAGTCCAATGAGAGCAAATAAATAAAGATTTTGTTGAGTTCCTTATTTTATACTGCCTCATTACTTATTAAATGTGATTTTTTATTCTTTTTCAGGACTGGTTGACCTCCCAAAAGAGAGTTTTGAAGCAGCTTACAATGCTATTACATTACCAGAAGAATTTTATGATTTTGACACTCATAATATAAAGTAAATTATTTTGTTTACCTTCCTGAAATTTGATTTTATTGATATTTTATTGTTTTCCTATTCAAATTTCAGAGTGGCACATGAAATGTATCTAACAAATGAAAAAGTACACATACAGTTGACAGATTTAAATTTAATGTGAAATTCCAAAGTGTACCAACAAAAATTTATCATTATATTCATCAAATATAATTTATAATATTGTCAATATATTCATCTGTCCGTTCAATAAGTACTCACTGTGTGCTTTTCCTAGATCAGGCACTGTTCTCAGCATTGAGGAGACAGTGATGAATAAAACACAGCTCCTGGCCTCATAGATCATACACTTTAGTTGGAGGAGATTGACATTAAACAAACATACACAATATTGGGGCCAGGGATTTAGCTTAGCGGCCCAAGTGCCTGCCTGGCAAGCATGAGGTTGTGAGTTTGATCCCTGGTGCCAAAATAAATAAATAAATATACAATAAGCCAAGAAACAACTAGATGATCTAGTATGAAGAAAAATAGAAAATAATGAGTATTCAGGAAAGGATTTTGTGATAAGAACAGAAAACTGAAGGAAATAAAAGAACCACTCATTCAATAATGTGGGTGAAAACTAGCTAGAGCAAGTGGAAAGGTTCTAAAACAGAGCGTATTGGGTGCTTCCAAAGTACAGCAAAGAGGCAAGTGAGATTGGAATGGAGTCAGTGAGGGGCTTGAGTGGTATATAAATGAGATCAGAGAAGTAGCAGGAGGCTACAGTCAGACTTATCTTACTCAGAAAGGAAGCACAGGAGAGTTTGAATAGAGACTAGCTTGAATTCAGCATGCTCTTTCTGGCTTCTTACTATAAGGAGGAAAAGGAGGAAGCAGGGAACTTGTGAGATTATTAGAAATCCAGATAGAAGAAGATAGTATCTGTGATCTTTTCTTACCTTCATCTTGTCAAGGTGGTAGCAGTCAAATTATGGATATGTGTAGAAATTAGAGCCAACAAGATTTGCTGCTGAATTGGATGTGAGGCTCTAAGAAGTGAAGAATGCCACATGATTTTTGACATGAGAGTGGAGTTACCACTTAATAAAATTAAGATCACTAGGGAATGGCAAATTTAAGAAGGGGCAAGAAAAGGAAGTAAGTTAAGTTTTGGAAATGACAGTTGCACATCTATAATTGTCTGAATTATGTGTTTCCCTAAATTCAGACATTGAAACCTAATCCCATTAGTGGTACCTTTAGGTAATGATCAGGTCACTAGGGTAGAGAACTCTCAAGGGATTAGTGCCCTTATAAAAGGGGCCTGAGAAACTTTCTGCTACCTAAAACACAGCAAGAAGGTGCCATCTCTGAGAAACACATGCTTACCAGACACTGAATCTGATGGAGCCTTGAGCTTAGAGTACCTAATGTCCAGCACTGTGTGCAGTGAAATGCTGTTGCTTGTAAATAGGTCAATTTAATCTATTTGTTACAACTGCCCCAAAGCCTGGAAAGTTCAAAGCCAGGATACCAGCATATTCAGTGATGGGGGCGGGGAGTCTTGCTTCCTGGCTCATAGATGAAAGTTTTTTCACTATGTCCTCATACGTGGAAGAAGCAGTGCATCATTTTTGGACCTGATAATACTGCTAATACCATTTATCAAGCAGAGACTTCATGATTTATTTACCTCACAAAGGCCTTATCTTTTAATACCTCTGCACTGATTATTAGATTTCAACTTACAGATCAGAGGGGCACAACATTTAGACTTTGCAGGAGTAAGCATCTATTTCAAGCACAAGTAAGTTAAAAACTGAAAAGGACCATTGGACCTGTCAACATGGAGATTGTGTATATGTTAATACATATAACTATTGAGAAAACAAAAAAATTTCTTCATTTGTATAATAAAATTTTCTTATTTCAGGCTTTTTAAGTGTACTATACAAGTATCATGATCTATCTGTATAGTTTCCCTAATCTTAACATTTCTCTATAGTGTGATTGATATTTCAGAGCAATTCACTCAGAACCAAAGCAGACCTGAAGAAATTACACTTAGAGAACAGGATGGCAATGATCTACTTTTCCAAACAGATAACTTTGGTGAGAATTTTTTAAAAATTAAAATTATAAGTCATAATTATATTTACATTTTTATATTGAAACAGTATCTGCAGAACTAGGTATAGAATGAATATGTTTATGTAAATATAATTCTCCCAAAATTTTCTCACCTTTTTCTAGTACAGATGTTAATTCTAAGATATTCTTAGGGTATACCTTCTTTCTCGGTGTATAACCATTTATTGAATACTCTATAATACATCAGATGTTATCATAAACACAGGCCAGTACCAACGTTTAAAAGAAGGAGTTACTGCCATCAAGGAACTTTAGGCTGGGAGAGAGACATACAAATAAATAATTGGTATAGCTAACATTCATACAAAGTTTTATATGTCTGCTACATAAAAACTTTTAAGTATCATATTTCCTACAATATGATGACTATGAGTTGTAAAATAATATATTTTAAATAAATTTGGGATTGAGGAGGAGGGAATACTATCACACTGAATGTACAGACTGAACTGATTTTAAATGTTACAATGTTTGGGCAAAGTGAGTGTACTTTAAAATTGAAGTGACATACTCTGATTCTGCTATATAGTTCTTTTTTTTTCTGACATGCCCATCTCTGTCTTGTGTCATGATATTTATATGCCTTCTATGCTGGTCTACAAACTCCATGAGGGTTGATCTGTGCCATGTTCATCTTTGAATTTCTTACACTTCCCAAAACAGCGTAGGAGAAGGATGGCCTAAACTTGTCTTGGTTCAGGGGTAGAGTCAAGGAAGTAATGTTTGAACTACCTCTTTATCTCAGCTTCTCCTTCTCTCTTTCTTTCTATTATCTCAAAACATCTGTGTTGAAGAACTCTTTTTATAGTTTTTGTCTATTTTTAATTTGTCTATATCATTATTTTATTTTTGTATAAATTTAATAAATTCCTAAAATTTAAAATGAATTCAAATTTCATTTTAGTAGAAATTAAAAGTCTAAAAATCTTAAGTTTTTATTAGTCAACATATATAAAATTATTCTGTCAGATTGCTATAAATCATTCTAACATTTGCTTCTAATTGCAGTTTTTATTATGGACCGGCACCAGTCCACAGACCATACTTGGACTAGAATGGATCTATACCTAGAGATATAATTGTATACTTTCCTGGACACAACACTTTATATAAAATTTCCTGTAAATTCTATTATTTTTCTTCATGCCTGAAACTTTAGTATTGCTTTCAATTGTACTTTCTTTAAGCTTCATACTAATGATGAAATGTCTCTTAGGTTTTCTTTCTATAGTTCACCAATATCAAAAAACTGGAATACTGTACTGCCCTCCTACAAACCTTACTCTATTTTCTTTCTACATTTTCCACATCTCTACAAAAGCAATTATCTTTAAATTTCATTTTTTCGTATCACATTCCTCTACTGAAGTACATTAGTTTCCTGTGATACTGTATTGAACTCCTTTGCCTATCATCAAAGACTTCTTCCAATTTATCACCTTGTATATCAACTGTACTCTATGCTTTCTTTCTCCAGGGCTAGGAGTTGAGCCCAGATCCTTTGCATTGAGCTATATCCCTATCACTTTTTATTTTGAGATTTGTATTTTGACAAAGTCATTAAATTGCCACAGCTTGGGTCTCGAATTTATAATTTTCCTTCATCAGAATGCTGGAGTTACAGATACACCCAGATTGTTTTATCCTTAATATGGACATGTTGCCATATTCAAGCAAATGTCTTACAATCTAACCAATACAATTTAGATGTTCACATTTTTATGTCTTATGTAATTCAAAACATTGAGAGCAAATTCTTAGTAGATCAACAGACCCAAGTTTGAATCAGAACTTTATTGCTTAATGTTTGGTGCTTAGTGATTGTCTAAGCTCTCTGAGCTTTATTGCCCTCTCTGTAAAGGCGAGATATCTTCTAGAAATAGCATAGGTTGTTTTTTCCTTTATTCTTTGCCTTCAGTCCTCTCCACCAATATAAGAATTTTCTCACTTTTAAAAACAATCTTAAATTTACTGTTCCTTAAGAAATGTTTAAATATTAACCCATCCTATTCTGTATTTCAGTATAAAATTGAAGGTAGTGGCTATTTCTTTTCTGTAACCTCAGATTCATGTGGTGCTCAGTGCTCAGAATGTAGTATCTGTTCATATATGTTATTCTTTGGCCAAGGCTGATTTTTTTGAGAGGTATCAAATTGCACATTGTATGAACATATTCTTATATTTTTAAAAGTCACTTAATCTTTTCTATTGGTCAGGTCTTTAATCTAGTATGATTAAGATTGCTGTTTTCAATTCTTCATTTTTTAAAGATGTAGGTCTAGAGCCAGGGATTTAGTTCAGCCGTGTAAGCACCTATGTGGCAAGCACAAGGTCATGAATGCGATCCCCGATACATGTATAAGATATGTATATATAGTAGGTATATATATATATTAGGTATATATATTTATGTATATAAAGAGAAAGAGATGTAAATCTATTGAAGAATGTTTGATATGAATCAAAGAATATCATCAGTCAAAGAATATCATGATTTTCTTTAAAATAGGTTGCTGGAGGAAAGGGACTACCAACCTCTGACCTCTAGAGTTTTAGACTCCTGGACCTAAAGATTCAAACCCAAGAGATAAAAAGAATATCAGTGTAACATATTAACTATCAGAACACAGAGTTGGCATTAGAGGGAGCTGGATTCAGTTCCTGGCTTTGTCATTGATTAGTCTATTATTGATGGCAAATAAATTATAAAGTTAATTACAAAACCTTTCTTTGATGTATTTCTTCATTGTACAATAAAGATTATATCTTCTGTTGTATAATATGTAGAATACATTAATGCTACTTCACTGTGTTTATCATTTTTATTTATTCTATCTTCAACTTCTAGCATATTCAATAAATATTTATTAGATGAATGTTGTAAACCTGATCTTTAATATTTTATCTACATTTCCATTTTCCTAAGAAAGCATATATGCTCCTTATTTTTCCTGACCCTTATTATGGATAAAACAATTCAATCTATTATGCTTAGAATTATATGAAATAATAGTTGGTCAAGTAAAACTTGAATTATTTAATGTAGAGGAAATCGTCCTACTGTCATGGTATCTTTGCCTTCTAGGAAATTATTGAATTATACAATAATTAATAAATTTTAATGTTTTGGCTTTTTTCCTATTGTATTGGAAAGAGTATTATATCAGAATGCTAATCTCTGCTGATTAACCGACTGATTTATTTGAATAATTTGAATGATCTTTTTCAACTGTCATTTTTCATATATATATATGTATATATATATATATAATAAGAATGTTTAAACTAGATAACATCTCCATTTCCTTCTAACCCTAAAATTATTTGTTTTTATTAATAACAACATTAATGATATACATTTATTTAGGGGAAGAATCTGAAATTCTCAGAAGACATAGTTTCTTTGATGACAACATATTACTGAACTCCAGTGGTCATTTAATTGAACATAGTCCTAGAAGTCTCACTGAAGAAAAAGTTTTGTTCTGTGACAGTGGAGATGGATTTGGAGATGAAGGATCTGCAGGAGAAATGATTGGTATGCTACCTAGCCATATCAAAATCAAGTATTCAATCAAATATATTAATATATGACATGAAACTAAAATTTCAAATATCCTTCTTTGTGATGCAAGTCAACTCATTTTTCACACAATTTTTAAAAGTCTATGCATATTTAGGGTTGCCCTAATGGCCACTTGTTTAAATATATTTTCCATAGAAGTTGGGAACTACTGTGTATTTTTATTTTTACAAATTCCTAATTTTTTGGAAGAGGAGAGAGAGATTAGTATATCTCTCACAAAATACATTACATTATATTCTGGGAAGGATTTTCATCTTTAACACTAGTTGTAGGACTACTAAAGAATCTAACATTTTATTTGTGTATTATAATTATAGAAGTAGTATAAGCAAAAGTGAGAAAACTACATATGTATATTTTAAAGGTTGCTGTCATGTAAAATACATATTTTGAAAGTTTTAGTTTATATTATCTAGTCCCTTCACAATACCTTACATAAAGCGATGTTAATAAGTGTTATGTGAGTACGTGACAGATTCAAGTTTATATGACAAAGTATGTATTGTGCTTTTCAAGACAATCTATTGCAAGATGATGATGATATTATCCTGTTAGAAGACACGCATTTAAACAGAGACATTTCCCGGCCTTCTGAGCTTCCCAGTACAATAATGGGTATGTTAAAATTTTCCTTTGGGTCGAAAATGAACAGATATTTATTTGAATTAAGCCTTAAAACTTCTACATGTAAGTAGCAATACAATATAGTAAAAGATAAAGAATATTCCTCACACTCTTTTTGTCTGATTCTGGGCACCATGAAATAGGAAGTTGGTTTCTTTTGCAGTATAGGTGTTAAACCCAGGGTCTTTGCATTGAGCTACCCCCTCTGCTGACCAACTGATAGTTGAGGAAGAGAGTGAGTGACTGACTAACTGGCTGACTGAAAGACAGTCTCTCTAAACTGTGAAAAAGCCTGGGCTGGGTAAAACTCATAATCTTCCTATGTCAGCCTCCTACAGTGTTGAGGTTTAGGTTCTGCAAAAGGCACAACGAAGGGTATTTTAACCCAGACTGAGAGCATGCTTTAAAACTTTGCCCAAATATTGGACTATTGAACCCTAAAAATAACATATGTTGCATGATAAATAAATAAATGGTATTGCTTGATAATCTGTATACAATCTATAACTTCTGAGGGACACTACAAAGATGAGATATTTTTCCTAATTGAAATCCTTACCAAAATGCTTCAGATGATTTGAGGTCTTTTAGGATGATTTTTCTTTAAAATTAAAAGTACAACTTGCCCTATTTTGATTCTCTACAATTTTCAATGTTGTATTTGGTTTCTAATGCAATAATAGAAATTGAAAATGTAAGAAGAGTTAGACAGTAAAATTTTATAGTTTGTTATAAATCAATTAATGTGATTCAATAGAATATAAATATCAACATATCAAATTTATATCCAACATTTATTTTATTTGCTGCTGCTGTTTTCAGTGCCACAGTGATTGTATACTATCCTTAGATGTCATATGTACAAAAAGAGCAATAATGTTTACTCACCCAAACACTGTGGATCCCCTATAATCTCTGAATTTCTTCACTGCTATTAATAACATGGTCCTAAGAACTCAGACATAACTCCAGTTAGCAATATAATCTTCAGTTAGTGTTCACCTCATACAGTCTCTAAGCTTAGAAATAACCATATGTTTTTATAATTATTTTAATGGCATCATTAATTTGTAGAACCAGATAATCCAGATGGCATATGTCTGCATGAGAATGAAAAACTGGGTGAAGTAACATTATTATCAAATGAAGAGGAAGGATTTGCTCTTGAGCCAGTTGACATTTCAGGTCAGACACATTCATGTTATTTTTATCCTTGATACACTGCTCTCTTATTTACTCTGAGATATTTAATCAAAAAATACAGGAGATAGTCTAGTAATAGAATTTTTAATACAATAGGAAAAGAATATGAAGAAAATTTCAGGTAATTCTTTCATTGTACTCAAGTCTTTTCAAGTCATATATCCAAGTTTAAACTCTGGAAAACTTAAGAGAGATTTAATGCAGTTCAAGAAGTTATTCAGTCATTAACCTATGTGCACAGAAATAAAGAAAACATGGTTCTTTCCCTTAAGGAGTTTTATAATCCTGACTTCTACTCTAAACACTGGAAATGCTATAGTCTCAAGGCATCCTCATGCGTGCTCACTGCAGGAAAGGGACCCACCACCCCAATCTCTGGGCAGAGAGTAGATAAGAGAACAGGGCCTGCACCCTCCTATGAGTGAGTGCTCCCATGTGCTGAATCCTAGAGACCTCTGTCTGCTCAAAAATATACCCCATGACTCCTGTGGACCCCAGCAGGTACAGGAATGTGCCCAAGTATTACAGCAATGGGATGGGGCAGTTCCTAAATCAAACCCAGGGCTAGCATCAGATCCTACCTGCTGACTGGAGTGGAGAACTGTTCAGACTGAATTAGCTCAGGTTTTAAGTATGGGGGAAAAGTAGAAATTGGTGTGGCTATCTATAATCAGACTGCGACTAAGGCAAGAAGGAAACTGTGCAAACACTCAGGTTTTTTGGCACAGTTGTCACATGAGAATCACATGAGAATTTTCTTGTTGAACTATTTGATCTATTTTTTTTTCACTTTGATTTACTTGGTATTTATTTTCCCTCCCTCTTCTTGTCTCACTGTTTTCATTTCTAGGCTTCTGTAGCAATATTTTCTTATTTTTTGTTTCTCTCATTTTTAAAATTCTTTTTGTTTTTCATTTGCTATTTTCTGCTCTCTCAGTCGCACCAATGTTCTCCCATAATAACCTTTTGTCTTCACTATTCTATTCCTTTTTCTCTGCCTTATCTTGCCTAGCTCTTTGTCTTCCTTTGACTCTCTTCCATTTTACAGGTGCACAAATACAGCAACAGGTTCCAAAAACCTCATAGCTTTCTTCAATTCTAAAATACACTTCCCTCCTCCTACATCCCATCCTTGCCCCCACAAACATCTTCACAAAACCCTCAAAGCTAATTCTTCAATACAACTGAATGACTTCCAATAGAATCTGTCTTACATCCATCAAGCAAATCAAATAGATTAGAAAACAAGAAACAAAAAACAAAGGAGTCTTCAACAAAAATGAATGCAATATCGGGAATAAATCAGTACCTGTCAGTAATAACTTCCAATATTAAGTGCCTCAACTCCTCAGTTAAAAGACACAGACTGGTAGACTGGATAAAAAAAATGAATCCAACAGTCTGTTGCATCCAAAAAAACTCATCTAGCCCAAAAAGATATTCATAGACTAAAAATCAAAGGATGGAAAACAGTATTTCATGCATCAGTGCCCCAAAATAAGCACAGGTAGCAAATTCACTCTCAGATAAAGTAAATATCAAGCTAAAATTGATCAGAAGAGACTGAGAAAGCCACTATATGCTAGATAAGGGGTCAATCCAACAGAAAGAGATAATAATTACAAATATATGTGCCCTGAAGACTGGAGTATCTGTCCTCATAAACACTACTGGATGTAACAGATCAAATACCAACAAAATTATAGTGGATGACCTCAGTAACCCACTTTCACAAAGAGATAGATCAACTAAACAAAAAATAAATACCAGAGCTGAACACATTTGAACAAATGAGCTTAAAAGATATCTACCAAGTGCTACTCTATAGCAGAATATACATCTTAACAGCACAAGTAACTTTCTCCAAAATAGGATCTACACTAGTCTACAAGGCCCGCTGAAATAAATACAAAAGAATCAAAATCACCTTGTGTTTTCTGTCAAATCATTGTGCATTGAAACTGGAAAGCAATCAGAGAAAATCATAGAAAATTTCTAAATACCTGGAAATTTAATAACACATTTCTCGATACCCTTAGAGTCACAGAAGAAATCAAGGAAGAAATTAAACAAGTCCTAAAATCAAACAACAATGCCAGTGGAGCACATCAGAACCGATGAAACACAATGAGAACAATCTTAAGAGGGACTCTTATTGCAATCATGCTAACATTATAAAAATAGAGTGAGCTGGGCTGGGGATTTAGCTCAGCGGCATAAGTGCCTGTCTTGAAAAGCAGGTAGTCGTGAGTTCGATCCCCAGTACCGATAAAAAGGAAAAAGACAAAAAAAAAAAAAATAGAGTGAGCTCAAATAACCTAATGATAAACCTCAAGATACTAAAATAAACAGCAACAATCCAAATCAAAATTCAAACTGAATTTAAGGAGAGAAATCATAAAGCTCAGACTGGAAGCTAGTGAAATTGACACTACAAAGTACAAAGAATCAATAAGTCAAAGAGCTGGATCTTTCAAAGAACAAAATAGATAAACCCTTAATTAATTTACCGAAAAAGAGAGAGAGAAAGGATTCATCAATGCAACTAGAAATGAAAAAGGCAAAATCATAACAATCATTGTATTCCAACAATAGTAATTGCTGTCTTCTAGATTTTACTATCTACTATCATTGCCATCAGGGAAACACAAATTAAACACTGTGATTTAATCTATACCAGAAAAAATGGCAATTATCAAGAAATCAGGTAATAACAAATGCTAGTATGGCTGTGGTGAAAAAAGAACCTTTATACATTGTTGATGGGACCATAAGCTAGTATAATCATTATGGAAATAAGTATGGAGATTTCTCAAAAAACTAAAAATAGAAATTCCATTTGGCCAAGCTATTCCTCTTCTACATATATTCCCAGAAGAACTAAAGATATTGTATTACAGAAACACATTCGTACTAGTGTTTATTGCAGAATAATTCATTTTTATCCTGAAAATAGTATGCCCATCAACAAATAAATGTGTAAAGAAAATGTATCTATATGTAATGGAATACTACTCAGCTATAAAAAAGATAAATTTGAGACATATGTTGGAAAAATGGATTCATCAGAAATGTTAAGTAAAATAAAACACAAATTTAAATACTATATGATTTTTCTCACTTAAATACAAAGTACAAGTAAAGAACAAATAAAAGATTAATAAAAAGACTCAGGGAGACAGGTCTTTTTGTAAATTGGAAAAGATCTGAGAGGCTGAAGGAGAGAGGAGAGTTAGTGAAAGAGTATGTGAATAGATTTACAATGTATCATGTACATGTACCAAATACCTACAGTGATTGTAATCATTGTATGTCATAAACCTGAACTAAAATAATAACAGCTATTGTAAAAATGGGGAAAAGGAATCTAGAGATACGAGGGAGGTGGATGGGGAGGGAATGGGAATAAAATGAATTTTAAAATGTTTTACATAGTGCTGGGCATGGTAGCGCACACCTGTAATCCCAGCGCTTTAGAGGCTGTGAGACAGGCAAATTCTTGTGAGTTCAACACCAGCCTAGGCTACAAAGTGAGTTAAAGGCCAGCTTGACCCTGTCTCAAAAAGACAAAAAAAAATTTACAGGCTGATCAAGATAAACATTCAAGTGAACATAAAATCAAATAAAAGATTCTGAAGAGAGGAACTATCCTGTCTACCATAAAACCTCTCACATTTAAAATGTTTTAAGGATTAAACAATAAGTGTAACTCTAAAATATAACTAAGTCTTTGAAAAACATTTTTATTTTTAGAAGCATAATTGCTACAATGTTCAGTGTATAAACTCAGATATACAGGGAATAAAATATTCAGTTTTTTAAAAACAGTCTCTATTCCTCAGGACTGGCAAGAAATTCAGTCTGCACAGCCCCCTGTATGCACAGAGCCATGTAGTATCAAAGTTTGGGTGAGGTATATGAGAGCGAGAACTAAACCCTTGAATCATCAGCTACACTGGTTTGTTATGCTCATTGTCACAGCTCCTCAGGCAGCCCCTGTAGGATTTTGCCATGTTTCCAAGATTTTACAAAAGCACATCAACAAGGTGGTACCTGTTTCTCCTGGCTCCATCTGATCTCAGATATTCATGTACTGAAAAATCTAATCCTTTCTGTCTTTTTGCAGTTTTGCTAAAGAATTTGACTTCTGCTATCTGCCTGGTAAAATTCCTTAAAGAAGTAAAATACCATGGATTTAGCTATCTACTTTGAATTTTTATATTAATTTCAACAGAAGAGGATAAAATACACTGAACAAATACAAATTATGTCTCAAAAAGCTATCCTATGATACAGGCATGTTAGCCTCTAGATTGGTTAACAAACCTCTCAATACAGCCTCTGCTCCACGTTTCCTCAGTTGCCCACCTAGCAGGTCAAGAGTCCCTACGAAGCACTTTTGAACAAGATCTTTAAAAAGTGTATCAGCTTTTGGCTTCTCAGACACTACTAGAGTAGTGTGAAAAAACCTTGCAAAGTATAATTTTTAGAGACAAGAGGATTTTCTTCCCAGTGAAACTGTGCAGGTTATTTCTTAGGCAGTGCTTATCATTTTACAAAGCTGGATAACCAACCACTTTTTATGCCTTTTTTTATATTTAGACATTGTTGAGAAAAGGAAAAGCAAAAAGAGGAGATTGCTTATAGATCCAGTCAAGGAGATCAGTAGCAAAACTATGTATAAACAGCTTACTTCCTTTTCCGACACACTCATGGTTTTAGAACTTGCACCTCCTACCCAGAGATTAATGATGTGGAAGAAGAAGGGAGGAGTGGACATTCTTCTGTCAACTGCTGCCCAGGATTTGATTCATGGCGAACTGAAAGTGGTAATAGTTTTTCTCCGTTTGAGTGCAATGTTTGTTTATGAATAAAACTATACGTATGCAATAGAATTTGAACTTGAGAAAAAGATAACCATTCATAAGTTAATGGGTTATATGAATGATAGTTTTCACTTTGTAGTATGTGTATAAGCTTTATTGAACTGATACGAAAATGAGAAATAAAATTGTGTATTTTCACAGTTGTTTACAAAATGCTTTCTGTCTTCTGGCTTTAAATTTCGAGGAAAATTGATACAGAAGGAATCAGTAAAGGAAGAACTGGAAAGACAAAACGGAGTAGGTGAGACTTCCTGATTCTGTTGGTGTTAAGAAGAATGACGGGGAAACAAAAGTATCATTTTACTTTTCAGAGTGGAAATGGAATCTAATTTACTATTTTCAAATATAAATTCTGTCTCTAGAGTATTTGAACTTAGTTACTTCAATATTTTATTTTTCTGTTTTTCAGATTCATTTTTGTCTGAAAGACTTCATTAAAACGATGAAATTACTTATACTATATAGACCATTATTTTTTCTTTTCTCACCTTCCCTGTTTTCAAAGTCAGTACTCACAAGCCACTAAAAAAGAAAATGTTCATATCTAACAGGATAATATTCTGCTTTAAAACAACTAACATGGGGCTGGGGTTTTAGCTCAGTGGCATAAGTGCCTGCCTGGCAAGTGGGAGGTCAACTAACATGAAAATTCACAAGGATTACAATACAATTAACCTGAGACATAGATATTACTATTTATCCATAGAGTATTTACAATTGTAAATTGTTACAATATTTTTGTAACAATTACAAGGTAGTAATAAAACCAGCTTTTGTGGTGAATGGGTAGAAGTAATAAAGACAAATGGGGGAACCAGAAGATTAATCTGTGAGAATTAGGGGAGCCATAAGACAATTTGTACACCCTTTGCTTCAGTTCTGGGATCCCAAGCTGTCTATCAGAGAAGTATGCTTTTATAACAAAAATATCCCGATTCATGTTTAAAAGGTATCTTTCTGAAACATTCTTTTCTTCCTTGATAATTCAGAGATCTCCATGATAGAAGAGCCAAATGCCCAGCAAGGGTTAAGTCATCCCCAGATTTGGAAGGATACAATTGATGAATTTAAGAGTAGCTCTAATGAAGATATAAATAAAAATAGTAACTCTGAGGTAAGTTAAGCAGAGAATCATAAAAATGTTTTTTCTGACACAGCTTTGGTGAAAGAATTTATCTTTTCACTTTTATTGATCATATTTCTTCTATCACTCTACATTTTCTTTAGTAAGTAGCACAACAACAGGGAAAAATATTTTCATTTGTGAGAATATTCTCTAAAAGTTTAGGATAGTGAATCACAAGATAAAGTAATTTGACACTGATATAGTGTTTTTCACAATATGTTAAATGAATCATTGTCTAACCTTGAAACTGGCTGTATCCTGAGAACTGTATTAGGCCTCATTTTCAATGTGTCATGGAATATTTTTGGACTCTACCCTGTTTTGTTTCTTAGCATAGCTTCACCCTTCCTGCCACTAATATATTTTAGGTCTTCAGTTATCTTGACCTTGAATCTGAAAAGTTAATGATCTGCAACAAAACAAATTATCAAACTTTTTATTTGAAAATATAATCTTCATTTGACAAACAGCTATTTAAAAATACAAATAGAAACAATACACTTTAACATATTTTCTCAGTTGTCACTTCATTGGTTGTATAAATGTAAGTATTATCATACTAGATAAAATAAACTAGTGCTTTTCTAATCTATTCCATCATCACTGTATTTTGATAACCACTCAGGGAGTTCAAAATTAATCCACAGTGAAACCAAATACTTTGGAAGGAAAGAGTTTCACAATGCGTTAAAGCAGGATATATTTTACTAAATCTTTGATAGTACAATGAATGTAATCTGCTGGGTTGCTGGTACTATATGCCTCACCTCAGGCTCAGGTATTTCTTATAATATACCTACAGAAAAATATGATTAGACACATGTTTAGATTATGATGTGTGGAAGGAAAATATAAGCACAGTTATTGTAGACATAGTTGTAATATAATTTTCCCATATGCTTGAAGTAGAAAGAAGCAATTGATTTACCTGTTACTCTTTTTTTACCCTATGCTGTGTTTTAACCTTCAATTCCATTCTTAAGTTGTTTCCAAAATGGTGAACAAATGTGAAATATAGTTGATGTACGTGTGAAAGAACAATCAATTTGGACAGGAAAACACTGATTCTGAGCAATCATTTTCAAATCATCATGAACCAGAATTTTTATAATAGTAACTACATAATTGAGAGTCTTTAAAATGTAGGCTATACATAAAAAGTAAAACAATGATAAATCTACAAATATGTATAATAAAGAATAAAATACAGTTTTTTATATTGACTAAAATTTTAAAGAGCTGAGGTTAACAGTCAAGTAACCTATGTTAGAGAAAACTTTTTTTTTTTTCATACCGGGGATCAAACACATGACCTTGCCTTTGCCAAGCAGGCACTTATACCTCCAGCCCCTGTTAGAGGAAACTCTTAACCAAGATAGGCGATGGCAGCTGGGGAAAGAAGCTTGATTATGCTTCGAAGATGAAAAGGAATCAACAGCTTTTATAATGGGGAAAAGGGGAGGAGATGATGGGGAGTGGCTAATTTCTGAATTTCCTTCCTCCTTTATGTCTTTACTCCTTTTTCAGAGGACACGATTTTTTCTTCCCTGTTGCCAATGACAGCTCCAGCAGTGGTGTCTGAATTCCTGTCATGGCCTTAGAAAGGGATATTGATATCCCTTCCCTTACTCTCTCTCCCTCTGCCTGACCATTGCCAGTCTTTTTCCTCTGCCATCTGGTACTGGCTTGAGGGAGCTAGGACTAGATAAAAGACTTCAAAGGAAAATGATCTCAGCAGTTAGAAAGACTTGTGTCACAGGTCTGAAGTGGAGGAGGAAATAGGAAGGAAAAGGATGGAAAGGAAGAAGGGAAGGATCTACACATTCTTTATTTGCGGGAAGCATATAGAGGAAAGAAATGTTTAAGTGAGGAACTACTGACCTGGGATATTTTAGAAGTAATATTTTGAGAATATAATAGCATCTTAAATTAGTTTGAGAAATGAGAATTCATTCATATTATTAAAGGATTAACAAAATTAGATTGTATAACCACTAGCAGAATTACTTATCTTTCTCTAATTTTCTTTAGCAGGATATTACTGAAGTGACTCCTCCAGCTGCTGAAGAATCATCTATAAAGAATGATTTGGTCCAAGAACATTTTCCAGTTAAAATGGTAAATACATGGGGGGATATTCTTAAAAACTGTTCCTAATATTGAATATTTTATTTATCTAAAATTTAGTTTTTAGGACCAGGGATATAGCTCAGCAGCACAGTGGCTGCCTGGAAATCATGAGGTTGTAAATTCGATTACTGTTACCAAAAAAATAATAAATAAAATTTAGTTTTTAGAACTGTCATGTAATGTTCTAAAATTATAATTTAAATTTTTAGTCTCAATAGAGATGTTTGTGAATACTTTGGTAAAACATTCAGAATTTTACTTTTTTTGTCTTTATTTTAAAACTTCAAATAATTTTTTAAAAATGCGTAGAACTTTTATACTTATCAAAGGTAATGATAGGTTTTTAAAAGTTGAGAATTACTGTTTCAAAATTTTTAAAACACTTATAAAATATGTAGAGAGTTAGGCATGGTTGTATCTAAGCACTCAGGAGGCTGAGGCATAAGGTCAGCCTGTGAGTTTAAGGTCAGCCCAAGCTCCATGGTGAGTTCAAGCCTGGCCTGGACTACAATAGTGAAACCCTGTCTCAGAAAGAAAAATGTTGCTAGAGAAACCATGCTTACTAGGGATTTAGCCTAGGCAGTGATGGTGAACCGTGAACCTTTCAGAACTTTCAGTGATACAAACATCTGACTGTGGTGCGCATGCCATAGGTTTCCCACCATCAGTCCAGGACATCTGAAATTTTATTTACAAAATGGTGTGAGTATTTTTCCTTAGAAATTAGAAAAAGAAAAAATGGTCTGCTCAAAGGACCACATGTTGATAGCAAAGCCAAAAGTAAATTCTGACTAGCCTGACTCCCTGTGTGTTACTGCCTTGTTTTTCCATTCCTTATCATAGAGAACTGAAAACCTGTTTAAGACTGTAAGGAATTTTAGCAAAAGTTTTCAAAGCAAATAATATCAAGACCCTTTTTAATGCCTGATATTAATTTGTTTTTAAATAAGTCAGGTTTATAATGAGTTATAAGACAATGAGATTGTTTTTCTCATTATGGAATACAGACAGAATTCTTTGGATAATCTAAGAATAAATGATCTGCACTTTTTACCTGAAACATTCGTACAGCTGAGCCATAAGTGAGTTGATTCATTTTTGCATTCTCTTTGCTTTCATTGGCACTGGTTGTTTTCACATGTGGTCCAGCAAACCACAATGTAGCACAAGTTCAGCTGTTTTAAAAATCCTCTGGGCTTTACACACAATGGCTTCAGTTGTAGGGTATCCAAACAGATCAAATGGACAGGAATTAGCAAAACACACAGGCTATTCTGAATGTTTTTCTGGTTAGTTGCACATTATAGGTGAAGCTACTATTTCATGGATCTTCAACAGATTTTTACATTTCAGAAATAACATTTGTGTACTTGACAATAATGTAACTATGTTAGTACATTAATTTATCCAAGGACATACCAGAAGAGAACAAGCATACATAGTAGCTGGGTAGATTTTAGAAAACTCTTTAGGAAAAAAAGTGGCCATATTTTCAAATCACTCTGGACATAGATGTAGTTTAGGCAGGACCATGCTGTGTAGCCAGTCCTGAAAGTAGGTATTGCTGGTAGGAATGAGGGCTCAACCAGTTCCTGGACTGAGTCAGAAAGATTGTGTTAGCCTCAAATGATTTAAAATATGAGGCAGAATATTTTAGAAATTTCTGAAATCATCTAGGACATGAAATCAAAAGTGTTTTGAGGATGTGTCTGGGTTCCAGAGCTGTCAATGAAGCTAACAGAGGACATGTGATAAGGGTGATTCAGGTACTGTTGGTCAGAGCCAGCCTAGAAAAAAAATGGTAAAGTAGGTCAGCTCTGTGCAACTTCCTTCTCCCAGCCTTTTGTAAGCTGCTATTCTATCAGATTCATCACCTTTCCTCTGCCCATTGTCTGTTCTCAGCTCATAAAAGTGTTAGTAGAACTACAGTGAGTTCTTGTAAAGAGATTTCAACTTTACGATTTTAAATATTAAGATACAGTGGTTAAGATTTTAAGACTGAATAGAATGAGTCTGTTCAGGTAACATTACAGGCAGTGGGTTAACCTTTTCTGGACAAGATATGAAAGGTTTCTAACCCAACTCACATACTGCTAACATTATTTTTAATGTTATTTTTAGAGTTTCCGTTATAGCCACGTAAGTTCAGATAACTTGATTTTTTTTTCTGTAGCTTTATATCTATTTCTGTCAGCTGAGTTCAGATTCACCAGAAAAAGAATAGATTTACCTAAAAGGGCTTGTCTTTCCCAAGTTTACTTTTCAGAATACATAAGGATATAGTGCTCTGGGATGCATAACAATAAGATTGCTGAATCTCCTACTTTGAATTTACTTATTAGTGATTAGTCTGGGAAGTGTATATCTAATGCTGCACAGGTGATGTATATTTGTGTTAGTCTCACTCTCCCTGTTATCAGATGATAAGGTCTTTGTTTGGTAGACTGAGTCATGACTGTGTTTCCTTTAGTGGCTAACACTATGCCTGGCACATAATTAATATAAAATTTGCTTAAAGTGCTGGGAATTTAGCTCAGTGGCATGTACCTGCCTCACAAACGTGAGGTCATGAGTTTGATTCCTAGTACCAAAGTAAATAAATAAATATTTGCTTAAATTAAATGTTTTATTTATCAATCATTTAACAGGAGGCATTGGTGAATGAACAAAGTAATGAAGCTGAGAGATGGAGTGAAAGATTATTTCAAGTGTTAAATAGTTTACAGGTAAGATGGTAGGGTTTATCACTCTTTATTTTAAAAATAAATAAAATATTGAATTCAATTATATAGACATTTATGAAGACAAATCAATCTTTCATTATTTTGTGGTAGCCAAATTTTACTAACTAAAGATGATTTTGTATGGTATACTTTGGGCTATATATAGAAGTTTTGGTCCCTGCATATTCTAGTCAACTCAGCCTACATTAATGGCCCAGGCATGTGTTGTGCATCCCACTCTTGGTTTTAGCAATGTAACAACTAATTCTAAATATAAAACTAAGTTATAATAGTTTATGAGTGATAAATCAGATAATTTTCACATTTAATTTGTATTTTTATCAAAATAAGAGATATAGGTTCAATAGTACTGTACTATAAGTCTTAAAAAGGAACAATAGAAGTCTTTTGTTCTACACTTCTTATGCCAAAGTCTTCATCATTGGAAGCAACTTTATTAAGCTGTTTTGTATTTATAGCTATATGTTTAACTGATATATTTTACAGGTCTTTCCTGATACTTCGGCTTCTATTGACTTTTTTGACAGAATGTGAAAATTTAGTCATGCTCCCCATTATAATACATTTTTTTTTAGTTTTTTTTTTTAAATCAGTACAGGGGATTGAACTAACGACCGCCTACTTGCAAGGCAGGTGCTTATGCCGCTGAGCTAAATCCCCAGCCCCAACAATACATTTTTAACATTGTGTTCTGTATTTGTGATGTAGGTTTATTTGTGAGAAAAAAAATATATTTGGTTTTAAAAAGAAGTTTATTTTTCTCTCATAAAAAATCTAATCTAGTATGCAGCTATGCAAACAAAGTTATCAGTGACTACTTTCTCTTTCTTGCTTTCCTTATCCCCCAAATCCAAAATGTGTCATTATCCAATATGTCTGTATTGCAATTTGCAACAAAGCTTTCTTTAATCTTGGATATAACCCAGAAATTTTGTGTGGCACTTTTAACATTCACCAGCACTTACCTTGTATTCCTCTGTCTAGAAATAAGAGTTCTACTTTAGCAACCTTAGGCCCAGCTAATAATTCTACTGCTGTGGAAGAAGAAAATGGATATTAAGAGACAGCTAGCACTTTGCACAAAGATTATGTAAAAAACTACCTCAAACTGAAGCTTCATAGTGTTATTACATTTCTTATAAACTTCATGAGCTGTTTTTGTTACTTGAATTATTCTTTACCTCATTTCTTGCACTTATTGAATGTCTCTGTATATCCATCCTTAATTATTTTCCAAAATTTTCGATAGTATAGTAAAATTCCCCTTAAGTCTATGTATATATCAATTAATCCATCAGTTTCATTTTTTTCCTTAGAGATAACCTTCTTAGAGCTAATCATCTTGTTCTAATCCAAACTACTTGCTCTTTAAATCATCTCCCCAGCTTCTATCCTGGGACATTCTTTTAACATAAACATGAAAATATCCCTGTTCCTTCTTAGTTCCTCTGTTTCTTGGTGTTTTGATTTTCTTTTATCTTAAAATTTTCATGTTTAATATTATCTCATAACCTGAAATTTTCTTTAATTTACCTTGAATTTTATTGGTTGTCTCTGGACGTAAGTTAGAAATAATTTATTTCTGATGTTGAAAGCCATTTAATATTTCTGGGTTTCTTTTGTTGTTACTGAAAAATCAGGTTCTGCCTTTGTTAATGATTCTTTATAAATGATCCTTGCTTTCTCCCTGAAAGTTTTTTGATTCTTTCTTTATCTTTAGGGTTCTGAAATTTCATGATTGTGTATTTTTTTTAAAATGTATTATGCTGAGCATATAGTGTATTCTTTTAATGACATATTCTATTCCTTACCTCCTAGGAATTTTTTGGAAGTCCTCTTGGTTTATCTGTTCTCTCATCTTGATGGGTCTCTAAGTCAGATAATGAATCTCCTAAATTGCTCTTTCAATTTTGAAAATATCTTTATCTCCAGTTTTAATTTAGTTTGTTTTTGTATTTTTCTATTTACTAGAAAATGTCCTTAACTTTTGCTCTTTATAAAATTTTTATTTTTGCTTTCACCTTTTTGTTTTCCAGTAGTTGCTTTTTATGTTAGTTTTTAAAATTTATTAGCTATTTTTTGTTTCATGAAGTCCTATCCTTTTAAAATAATTATTTGATTAAAAACTTTTTGTTGCCAGGCATTACATACCTGTAATCCCAGCACTCTGGGAGGCTGAGACAGAGGGTCTCAATTTCAAGTCTAGTCTAGGCAATGTAGCAATTTTGTGGGGCCCTGTCTCAAAATAAAAAAGATGGAGTATGTAGCTCAATGCAAATTCCAGTACCATAAAAAAAAAGAATCTGTGTTAAGGTATGGTTAAAACAAAATGAATTATGCATGTTTAAAGTACAATGTACAGTGAGATATCTTTTTTATTAAGTGTATTAGTACATTTAAAAATACATAATGATCATTTTCATCACAGGGAACTTGTACTCATACATGTATGAGATAAATATCACTACACTCAGGATAATGAACATATCTAAAACCCCAAAAGCTTCCTTGTGTACTTTGATGGTCCCTTGGACTGTCCTTCCCACTGTCTTCCTTTATTGTCAAGCAAACACTTACCTGTCTTCTTTTGCTATCATCTTAATCACTTTTCATGGATGCAGTGAAAAAACTTTTCTTAACTTTAGAAGTTACAACTTCCTTCTGCTCTCTGTAGTCTTTCAGTGATTCTATTGAATGTATCTTTTTACTCTTTATTGTTAGAGATTCAGCTGTCTGAAGGAGCTTTGGTTATCTGTTTTTATTTAAAACTGAGACACTAAACCACCAATTTTGGAAGTTATATGCCCAAGGGCATGGCTTGTATATAGTCTTGTGACTTTAACAGTGAGTTAACTGGGTGGTGCCCTTTCTCCAGATATCACCTTCTAAAGCCTTTTTTTTTTTCTTTTCAGTAGTCAAATTTTCTTAGAGCATTCTTTTCATCTGCTACCTAGGAGATATATGCAGATACCCGTGGTTCAGGAATCAAAAAGAAGTGAGGGAAAGATTAGTTGTTTCACTGTGCAGGTGCGGAACATCACGTAATCTCTTTGTTTGTGGTAGGATACTTTTCATTACCCATCTACAGTGCCAGTGTCCCAAGTCCAGAGCTTCAGTGGTTAGTACCTCCAGAAAGATGCCTTCTTACCTGCTGCTGCTATGCGTCATGGTCTCTGGCTCCTGGAGGTTGTGGAGTGGACGGAGGATCTAACTTCCTTAAGTCTCAAGGAATTCTGTTTCAGTCTCATCTCTAGCTTATGGGCATTCTCATGTCTCTAGCTCCTGAATTTCCTGAGTTGGCTTGATTTTTGATGGCTTTGATTTCCTCCCTGTTGATATTTAGGTTTTAGCGTTCTCTCCTCTGATAAGTCAGTCATGTCTTCCATTTTCTTTATCTCTTTCATTTGTCATTTTTTATTCATTTACTCTGTCTATTCTCAAGGGTTTCCAAGGGAAACACAAATAAGCATGTGTGTTCATCTTGCATATTTGTCCCTTCACGGTTTTTCAAGAGAATTCTTAAAACTGAAAAAGCTGTTTCCACTCTCTCCCAGGGTAAAAAACTATCAAATTCACTTCTTGTCACACAAGGGAGGGAATAAATGAAGGCTGAGTATACAGTCTCAGAAAGGCTCCTAACTCGGCCACAATTTTGATTAAGATAAGCCACAATGAAGTATTCATTTATTAATCTGTTAAGTATTATAGACTGGCAAAAAGTTACAGTATTTCTAAAGGTACTTATCAACTATCCAAAGAATTTGATACTGAAAGGGATACTGGCCAGTGTTCACTATAATATTTCTAACTAAAAACTATACTTCTGTAGGAAGCTGATTCCAAGTCTTAGTCTTTATGAAAGCAGTTATCTTCACCCATAATTACTTTATTGTGCCTTATTTCTAATAGGTATATAGGTGCTCTTTGATGATTCCAATATCTTTTTAGTCTGTACAAAGAAACTGGGAGTGTTTAGTTGTATTCCCTTGCCACTAAAATGTACAAATGTCCTCCATTTACCACTAGTATTCTTACAGTCATCCTAGTACTTTTGAGAAGCCTGATAAACTGACTTCCAATGTCCTGTAGAATTTTTCTACCTGTAAGTTGAAACTTACTGCACTTTTCATAGAAGGAATTTATTTCAACATCAACTTTTTAAAGACTTAACTTTTATATAACACATTATGAATTTGTATAACATTTTAGGGCTCTTTTGCCTGCGTTTTTTTTCAATGAACCAAGCTTGTGCTTAGTAATCTATTGTTGTTTATATTTGTCCATTGAAGTATATCATAATCACTTATCCAAAACCTCAATGTTTTGGGCTGGAGATTTAGCTCAGCGGCATAAGCACCTGCCTTGCAAGTGCACAGTTGTGAGTTTGATCTCCAGTACCAATAAAAAAAAAAAAAAGAAGAGGAAAACCTCAATATTTTGTTGTTCATAATGCATCCATAGCCTGCTTTGCTTCTAATGATTTTGTTTCCCTTCCTTTCTCCCTTTCCCAACTATTTTCCCCAGGAATCTAACAGGATGGGAATGCAGTCCTTTAGTCTGAAGAAATTCTGCAGAAATAGTAACCGAAAACAAGCTGCTGCCAATTTTTATAGCTTTCTTATGCTTAAAAAACAGCGGGTTATTGAGCTGAGTCAGAGTGTTCCCTATGCAGACATTATAGCTACAGTGGGGCCAATGTTCCATAAAATGTGAAGGAAATACAGAACATGCAGGTTTATGCTGTCACAGGTATTTCTGTACAGATGATTCCATTTAATGCAGAAACCTTCTGGAAGCAGCTGAAGGTCTGATTTGTTTCATAGGTAGGCTGACCTCATGTGCCTCTCTGTTCAGAATACTCATAGCCAGAATTGGAAATCTATCTGCTTACAGAAATATTGATTATAGCTAGGTAATTTTTAAAACTCAGCTTATTTGAAGGTATAGCCTTTATCATTTCCCTAGTTTGAATGTAGCATTTAGAATACATTTTTTAAAACATTGTAAGCCTTTGAGAGACATTCAAGGATGTTTTTTAAAAGACTATTTTATGTTGGATTGTTTATTCAAATTGTATGGAGTTAATGAATATTAATGCTTATTCCTTGACAATAATTTATTTGATTATAATATATGTCATCTTTGATATGACCTAGAGTCATAGTTTTTCATCTGATATCTTAATTGAAGAGTTATAAAATTCATCTTTGTCTTAAATCATCTACCTGGCTGTTAGCCTATTTATAGGTCATTTGAATCTTTTATTTGCTATTTATTGTTAAATTATTATAACCATTTCATATATTAGATTATTATAACCACCATTAATGTCTCAATAAAATTAAATATACTTTTTTACATTAAAAAATTATTAGACACTTGAGCGGCTTGTTGTCTGAAGTTATAATGAGCAAAAATTGCTAAAACAGGAGTTTTTGTACTTGGTATTTACTGAGCATGTTTAACATTAAAGCCATTACTTTTTCTTAGTTTAATTTGAATTATATTTTCGTATATGCTCTGTGAGCTCCATAAAATGAAGCCTATACTACCCTTTGAAACATTGTATTTGGAATTATACATATAACTAAATTCTAAATAGCCTCTACGAATACATGAACTCCAAGACATAAATATCAAAATTGGTTTTTAAATTTTATTTTTTAAATTAACATGCAAAAAATGACTTCATAATTTTGGTGCATAGTTCTATAAAGTTTAACATATACATAGTTTCCTAGAACCATTATCACAATCAGGATACAATGGTAAAACATCCTAAAATTCTCCCTCTGTTAATTCCTTTTAGTCATACTTTTCTCCTATGCTGATCTCTGGCAGTCACTCTGCTCCATGACTGTACTTTTGTCTTTTTGATAAAGTCATAGAAATGGAATTATATAGCTTTTTGAGACTGGTTTCTTTCACTCAGTGTAACATCTTCAATACTCACCCAAGTGGTTGGATAGCGTGTTTGTTTTATAGCTGATTAGTATTCTGCTGCTAGATATAACAAAGTTTTATTTATCCATTGAAAGGCATTTAGAATGTTTGCAGTTTTGTTAATTATAAATATAGGTACATACCTTTGTGTACAATTTTTGTGCAAATACAAGCTTTTATTTCCCTAGGAGTGAAATTGCTGCATCATATGTATGTCTAACTGTAATAAATTATCAAAATATTTTCAAGAGTGGTTGTATTTTGTATTCTCAGAAGTAATATTTGAGTTCCAGTCTTTTTGTTATATTGAAGTAATGTTTGAGTTCCAGTCTTTTTGTTATATTGATATAATTATAGATCCTTGTGCAGTTGTAAGAAATAATACAGACAGATCAGCTTGCCTAACTTCATTACCGTATCACAGCCTAGAAGTTGGCATTGATATTACCCACCCTTATTCATATTTTAACAATTTTATATGCACTCATTTGTGTATATTTGTATTTGGTTCTATGAAATATTGGTTATGTGTAACTTTCTGCAAACAGCACTGTAGTAGAGAAACAGAACAGTCACATCACAAGGATCATCTGGGTTGCCTTGTAGTAGCCACAGTTATATCCTTCCCTTCTCTCCTCTCTCCCTCCTGGCAACCACTAAGCTGTTCTCTATTTCTGTGATTCTGTCTTGATGCAGCTGGCTTTTGTGAGTTAACTTTATATCTAATGACTTTGCTAAACTCACGAATTAGTTTTATTGGTTTGTTTCTGTAGATTTCTTGGTATTTTCTATACAATCATGTTGTCTACATGAAGGAACAGTTTTATTTCTTCCTTTGCTATCTGTGCAATTTTACTTCTTTTTCTTACCATGTAACACTTGCTAGAACCCTTAATATTTTGTTGAACAAAAGTAGTAAGAGTAAACATCCTTGCATTTTCTGAAACAGTATTTGCTTTTTGACCAGTATGATATGAACTATATTAAGATTATGTTGTTTTGGATTTTGAGGTGTTATTTGGTAGAGGTATTTGTGTCAGGCTGGGTCCTGTATTAGTTCACTTTATATTGCTGTAACAAAACATCTGATAATAGGTACTCACAAAGGAAAGCAGTTTATTTAAGCTCACAGTTTTGTAGGGTAAAAGTCGAAGATCAAATGGCCCCATCTGTTCAGCCTCTGGTGAAAGCCTCATTGGCTGCATCACAACATGGCAGTTGGCATGATTTGTCTTAATTTTCCTTTAAGAGAAAGACTTTATTTCACTTTCATTCCTAATAGACATAATTGCTGGGTATAGAATCTTGGTTAATAACTCTTTTTTTTTCTTCCTTCCTTTCTTTCTCTCTTTATCTTTCTTTCTTTCTTTTCTCTTTCATTTTATTTATTATTGGATTTTTTTGAGACAGGGTTTCATTCTATAGCCCAGGATGGCCTCAAACTCACAGTGATCCTCCTGCCTCATTCTCCTAACTGCTGGGATTACAGATGTGTACTGCCATGCCTGGCAACAACTCTTCTCTTTTGGAAATTAATCAAGTTTTGGGTTTTTTGAGACGGTCTCACTATGAAGTTCAGGTAGTCCTCAAATTTGCTTCGTAACCCAGGCTAGCCTCAAATTGACAGCACTTCTCCTGCCTCAGCCTCCTGAGTGCTGGGACTACTATACAGCCATGTACACCATGCCCATGTTATTTTGAAAATTTAATAAAATTTGTTATGTTTTCTTCTGACCTCCATCAGCTCTGATGAGAAATTCACAATTATTCAAACCATTATTATACTATAATTAATGTATTACTTTTCCTCTGCTACTTTTTCAAGATTATTTTCTTGGTTTGTTGTTGTTTATAATAGTTAAGTGATTATTTACATTATCATTGTTTGACTTACCATCTTTGGGATTCACCAGAAATCTAGAACTTAAAACTTCATTTGCTTTGCTCTGCTTTGCTGCCTACTTCCCACAATTGTGCCTACATCTGGATCCACACAGTGAACAGTCAGAAACAGACCAAAAAACCATCGAGGCTTCTCCTCACTCAGGATCACAGCTATTCTGATTAAGAAGTTTCTCCCTCACCTCACCCAGAGGCATGTGTGCATTCCTGTTGTCACAGTCCTACTGCAGGATTACCCGGTCACTGGGCTGGAGACAATGGAAAAAAGAAAGGAAAAATGATTCCCCTCACAAACTCTGAGCATCAGAAATCACCTTTCCTTACCCTCAAGTCAAAACTAGAAGGATTTCTGAAAGTTTGTTCTGCGCTGATTTCTAATTTAGGAGTTTTAATCTGTCTTGATAGTGGGTTAGGAAGTGTTGGAGGGAAAAAATTCCTAAATTCACCACTAATTCAGTGAGTCATCAAATCTTGCCTTCTTTCCCAAATTGCCTGCTAGTGTCTTCTATTCAGACTTCTCAAGTAACTGCCACATGTATTTAAGGTTTTATTGCTGTACTCAGGAGGAGGAGTGTGTTTACCAAGAAGTGGAATGAAAATTGCTTTAGAAACTAAACATGTTAAGCACTGTATTTCTTAATTAGCATAAAACAAAATTACTGATTTCTTTAGAATAATTTTATCTTGTTTTGTGTTATAATCCTTATTTTGTTGCAAACACTGATTCTCTCCTCAATCACCTGCTTTCTGAATGCTTAAGGGAATTATTTACTAGCTAATACCCTGCCAGATGGGAACAATGTGGGGGAAAGAGCTTTTGTTTGGGGGGCAGTCCTAATGAAGATCTCTGGGAAATGTAGTCGTCTAAGTATTAAGCAAAATAAATAATGGGAGAAAGACAAAAAATATTTAATGACAGTATCAGAAAGTTTCTGCTAGACACAGTGATTACATGGTTTCCTTGGTTTTGTTTTAAGTGTAAAGAAGTCACTTATGTAATTTAGGTGGGCATTAGGGCAGATAAAACATTTACCCAATGAGGAAAAAGAGGCAAAGATGAGGCAGGATGCCGGGGTGATGGTCCTGAGAGGCAGTGACTGATGAGACAGAGCTGGTTCAGAAAGAGGGCACCTCTTCCCACTCCACCCCACCTCCCAAGGAGGAGCAAATAAAAAGCCAGACCCAGACAGCAAGTTAACTTATGTGAAGTTGGTGGCTTGGAATGAAAATGCAAACCCAGAGAGTGTCCTGACTTTTTGATTTCCTTGTTTCCCTTAGGATACTAGATGGGGGGGGGCATAATAACCCATAGCTACTTTAGGTTGAGAATACTTATCTTTCCGTTATACCAGTGAATCGCCATTTTAACCACAAAGGAATTATTTTCTATCCTTAGATATTTAAGATTCCTTCTATTAAGTGCTCACAGCAAATAACTTTGGTGTTTTGGCTTAGTTTGGGGAGGAAATGTTCCCTGTAACAGCGGTCAGATGAACTTAGTATTTAACACCCAAGTCACTGTGTGCCGTGGAGTGCGATTGCTGTCATCATCCCATGTTACAGATGAGAAAGCTGAGGCCCTGAAAGATAAATGAATTTGCGCAGAATCACTTAGCCTGTCACAAAGCCCTTTCTACCAAGCCGGTCGCCCAGCTCTACTGCAGGTCAGCGTGCAGGTGGGAGATGACTTCCCCCACGCGCTGGCGCCCCACTCCCGGGCCCGAGGGACCGAGGGACAACTATCTCTTTAAGAAGCAAAGTGAAGACAGGCCGCTTACGCAGCTGCCGAAGGCGCGCAGCCGACTGGCTCGTCCGCTGCATCCACCTCTCCTTCCCCGCCCTCCTCCCGGCAGCCCCAGCCCCGGCGAGCGCCTAGCCAGCCGCCTCCTGCAGGGGCTGGGGAAAGCATCCCGGCGCCCCAGGCAGGGCAGCCAAAACCATGGAACCCTCTGCAGGTGATGGCAAGGACTCCGGGGGGCCCCCGGGGCCCACCGCCCAGTTGCGCTTGCAGCGTTCCAGAGTGCTTAGTGCTAGGGGGCATGGGGGGCCAGGAGCTGCGAATGGAGCTAGCAGCCGGCGCTCCACGCTTTCGGGCTACAGTGGCCCCGCTGTCAGAGGCCGGGGGCTCAGCTGCCTGGGCGTCCTCGCCCGCTCTCACCCGCCCCTGTCTGTCTCTTCCCCCACCGCCGCAGGTTGCTGATCGGGGCCAGGCGGCTGCAGCAGCGACTGCAGAGGCGCTGCGCCAAGCGGGCCAGAGTCGTGCGAGGTGGCGGGACTGCGGAGGGCAAGCAGACTCAGGTGAGCAGGCCGCGGCGCAGCGCGAGGGGACCTTGCGCGGCTCCGAGAGACTGCGGGCAGCTTGCGACGCTAACTGCGGTAGAATCCCTCCCTCAGGGGCACCTGCCGGGAGGCACAGATCGTGACTCATCTTACCCTCCCTTCATTTCTCCTACGTCCTTTAAGCACCCCACCCCCAGCCGTGAAACTGACTAATTAGAGGATGCTGATTGCAGTAAGGAAGAAGCCCAGTTTGGGGATTAGGAGGAACTGTTGGGGGAACTGCCCCTCCCCGTTCCTATTTGTCTTCTGACGTTCAGTGAGCGTGCAGATTTCTCTTTGGAACCCTGCACCCACCCCAAGGTCAAGTGCCACTGACTGCTTCCTTGCCATATTCCCCTGAGTGAAGAACCAGGGCCCTGCAGTAGATCTGTAAAAAAAAAATCCAAGAACCCTGAAGTGAGAGCTCTGATCCTGGGTTCTGCTGAGCTTCTATGGGATGTGCTGCTTTCTCCTCCACTCCCCAGCAGGGAGCAGTGCTGTCTGCCACACTGCTAGCCCAGGAAGTACCCTATTCCCTGCCTCAGCCTTGCAGACTTAAGGAGAGGCCTGGTCACATGCTGCCTGTTTCCTTGGGCTTCTCTGTCCATATGGTGGTGTGGGCTCGGCTGGGGTAGAGGAGCTTCCCAGAAAAACAGGATCTCTGCAGGTACAGTCATGCACATAAAGTGCCAGAGATTGGAAATCTAGGCCTTTCCCTTGCTAGTTGGCCAAATTAGCCATCTGAAAATTCTTTAGGTGTGGTATCTGCTTGTCTGTTAAATACAGGAGTTGGATTAAATGGTCTCTATATTTAATGCACCATTCAAACTGCTCTTAAGGGTTGGAGAACCTTCTACTAAAGCAGTTAAATTTAGGTTCATGGAATAATTGGAGTTTCCTCAGTTAATCACTTTCAACTCTGAACTTCTCAAGTGAAACATCAACCTTGTGGGCTTCATGGCAATGGAGGCATCAGACATCCCTAATTGTGTAGCTGCTTCCCTTACCCAAGCTTCAGTTTCCTCATCTGTAAACCTGGGAGGAGGAATAAATGCCTCAGAGGGTTGTTGTGAGGCTTAAACAATATTTGCACAGACGCACCTCAAATAAGGGCTTGGCACATACTAGAGACTCAGGAGACAGATTGCGAGAGGGAGACGGGTGGCTGCCTTAAATCCCTATTGCCTCCCTCTACCCCCAACCCCTGACTCTTCCACATGCTTTCAATGGTGTCCCTGCCAAAGAATAATGCATGTTGGAGTGTGCTGGCCTAAGACAGAGGGCCTAGATGGGAGTCAGGAGGTACCAGTATCTCCACTGCAAGGACTATGACACCATTCTAGCAAGTGATGGTCCCAAGGAGGCAGATGGCTTAGCTCTGGGTTTGAAAATTTTGGCATCTATGGGTGGAGTCCTGGCCTAAGGGGGAACAGAAACATCTGAATCTTGTACACTGCAGGGGAGCAGGGACCGGGCTTCTGCACAAATTCCATTGCTGTTCTCTTGCCCTCTCCAGAACCTCTCCCTAGACACTCATTGAGACAAAGGACCAAGCTTTTAGTGCTCATATTTTCTGTTTATTCTCCCTCATGTCCCTCATTTTCAGCCTATACTCAGCCTTTCTTGCTCTAGTTTGTCCACAGAGACCAACTGCTTTTTGACAGTATGATAAAGGCAGGTGCCTACAGGGTAGGGTATAGCATTTTGCTGCTGCAACAGTTAGGGCAAAAGAAACCACCATGTCCTCCCTCTTCCCTAAATCCCACTTAGATTTGAAATCCTTTTCACAAAGGCCTGGGGTTTTCCTCTCCATCTCTATCCTCTAGCCCAGGGATAGCCCTAAAGTAGATGCTCCGTAAGTGCTGAAGTAAGTTGGAAATGACAGTCCTAAAGTAGTAAGATTGGAGAGAAGGGGCAATGTATTGACAGTGTAGGTAAAAGGACTTTCAGATGTAGTACACTGTACAGGTGTTGGTTATCATTATTATTGCTATTGCTAATACCATGGTTACTGCCTTTAATAGGGATATCAGATACTTTAGAGCTCCTGACAAAGGCTAGTGGGCCCAGATGTGCTTGAGAGGGTGGTGATGTTAGTAACCAGGGGTCCAGATGGTGCTGACTGCTGTAAGATCTGACGGTGAAAGGAAGAAGCCTGGGAACAGAGCCATGCCAGCCACTGCTGCATGCAGATCAGAACAAGTGATTCCAGAAAGGTAGGGAGTGAAAAATCAGGAGACCAAGTCCCAGGTCTCATTTAGCTGCCTCATTGAGTGACCTTGGACCTGTAGGCCCCACAAGGTCTCTATGTCCCCATTTCTATACTAAGGGAACTGGACCAGATGGCCCGTAGGGCCACTTCTGGAGCTGACATTTTGTAAAGTGGACTCTAAAGTAAAAGAGGACAACCATTAATATCATTATGGGGTACCAGGCCATTCTGTATCTCAGGTAATCCTCATAACAATGCATACCTATTTAAAGACAAGGAGGCTAAGGGTTAGAGAGATGAAATAATGTGCTCATGGCTGCCCAGCCAGAAGTGGTGGGCCTGTTCATCTGACCCCAGCTAAAAAATGTGTGTTCTCCCAAAGACCCCACTGCCTCCCAATGGTACCATCCTGTTGTATGAGCTGTGTGCACTTGTGCAGATGTATGGGGGTTCAGAGACAGGAAATCTGTGAAGGATTTATGACAGGAGATCAGGCGTTTCTCCATGCGATTGCTGCAGAGGACTTGCTAGTTGAGTTAAAGCATGTATGAGTCATAGCTGCAGAGATTTTACCATACGCTCTGGTTTGCTGCCATGTGGTGGGCACCCCTTTACCAAGGAAAATAGCTGGGTCTGAACCCTGGTCATGACAGATACACATTTTTTGTGTTTCCTATGTGCTGTGCTCTGTTTTAAAGCACAGGTTCTATTATTTACTCCTCAGACTACCCCAATGTGTTGGCACTGTGTATAATATTACCTGTTTTACAAGTGGCAAAACCAGAGTAGGAAGCCGAGGGTCCTGCCCAGGGTTTCATAACTGCATATTGTAGGACCTAGTGAATAATGAGCTGATGTATACTGGACTAAGAGTCAAAGGGTTGCTTTTAATCCAGCCCCCCATCCACTGACTGAGTGACCTTGGGTAAAACAATTTCCCTCTGAGAGTCAGTGTCCCAGCCCTCAGAATGGTTGCACCTGCTAGTTCTAAAAAACCTAAGTGCAATTTTATTTCAGAATAGAGAGTTGAGGGTCTTACTGAACATTGATCAGTGCCTGATATTGAATATTGTCTGATATTAGCTGGACCCTAAACTGGTACATGGGATTTAGGAAAGCCTGAGAGGAAAGTCGATCCCTGGTTCCAAAGACTCACATCTAATAGAAAAAGACAGATACCTAAAGATATAGGTGTGGGGAAATGTCTAGGAGCTGTGAGGCCTATAGATATGGAGGTGATAGGGAAACAGAAGAGTAGGGGAATGGTCTTTCTTACTGTCTTAGTTACTTGTTGCTTGGACAAAGTGGCTGACACCCAAAGTTAAAGGTGAGAAGGTTTATTTGGCTCACAGTTTGTAGAGGTTTCAGTTAATGGTTTGCTGGCTCCAAGGTAGGATGGCATGGCTGAGGGGCACTGCAGAGGAGAAACAGTTTGTGGCAGGCAGGAGCAGCAAACAGCAAGCAACAAATGACAAGCAGCAACAAGCCTCGTTCTGTCCCTTATGTCTTATCCAGGCTACACACTCTTAGCGTGAGAAGTGCTCACACTCCCTTAATCCTAGTATCATATCCTTGATTGGAGTACCGCACACTCTGCATCCAGCCATCTCCAAAAACCCCCAGCTCTGACCACATGAGGCTTTGGGGGACATCTAGATACAAGCCATAACACCTACCCAGCGGTGGGGATAGCTTTAGTGATGTGATGCCACTGTTGTTTTCTGCATTGAGTTTGGGAATAATTATAATAGTAATAGTGTTCTATTCAAGTTGGGACATTTTCCAGTCATTCTAAACACCTGTTGGCTCTTGCCCTCAGCAACTCTGAAAGTGGCCATAGACTCAGATCAACCATCCAAGCTCACACTGGTGCTGTTCCAGTGAACTATCCATTTGTTTCAGATGAATCAGAACCTTTCCTGTTTTTGGAATCTTCTAGAAGCAGGATTCTTAAATTCCATTCTTAAATTCCAGGAAGTCCTACTTAGTACCCATAATCATCCAGCAGCCTTGAGGAATCCTCTCTCTTGTCTATTCTCAGAATTCCACCTGTTAGGAGGAGGAGCTGACACCCTACAAGATGGAGGCGTTTACCCATGATTACTCAGCAAACTGGAGCTGCAACCCTAACCAATGGAGATTATATTTCTCAGCCACGCGGGGACTTTCTACCTGTAGACCATGGGGGCCTGAGGGCCATTGCTTCTTTTGATGAGCAGACAGTGCTGAGTGAAGGTTTGATGCAGGTGATATTGAACTGAGGGCCATGGGTGTGGAGCTAGGGGTTCTGTTCTGCTGGCTGCTTTCCATCCTTAGTAGGCATATATTTATGAAGAATTAGACAGATATTCATGAAGAACTTGTCATGCGGCTACCACTGTCTTCTGACTGAAGTGCTGAGCCAACAAAAAGGGAACATCTCAGAAGCAGCCTGGTTCAGTGGAAAGAGCGAGCATCAAGGAATCATCATTGAATCCTGGGCCTGGCTCTGCCATCAGCTTTCTGGGTGGTTTGAGGTCAGGCCCCTGCTCTTCCACCCCTGTGAAATGGGAGGCAGAAGTGGTAATTGGTAAGGGCCCTTCATCCTGTAGCAGCTAATAGTCAGCAATCCTTTCTTCAATGCTGTATCTGCTTTAGGGCCTATGAGGGTGGACAAGGTACAGGTATCTGTAACTTGAGGAGGAATAAGATAAATGTAACCAGAGGCATGAACAAATGCCCTGTAGATTTGCTGAGGAGAGGGCTTGGGAATGGCTTAATTCAAAAC